AAAGCAACAATTAAGTAAGAAGGCTAAGAATTTTGCCACCATATCCTGCAGAAGGCATTGGATCAATATATCTACTGTAGTCCTTCTGCCTAAATAGAGAGAAAAAGATTGCAAAGACTTTATTTTCCTTGGCTTGGTCATTAATGTCTTCAGTTATAATCTTAGCTCTAAGTTATCACTGCTATATTGATCTTTCTAGTCAACCATGGATGGCTTGGGTGGTAGCTCAACTTATAAAATATTTCAAATTGAGTGAGTTCCAGAAGCCTAATTCTGTGACACTCTGATGAACAAATCAACTGGGAACAAAGTTCCTTTTAGCAGAAGGAGTCTGGAAGAGAAGCAGTCAAATTCTGATGGTAGGTCCAAGCTATGGTGTACAGAGTTCACACCTAGTTGAGGTAGGAAAGGCACCTGCATTCGTGCTCCTGCCACACATGTCTACTCTAGAGATGTTCCTGACAACAGAATTAATAAACTCCTTGGCTGTACAAACCTTAGGATAACATGTATTGCATCTATGATGATGTGTTTTTGTTAATAATTTCTCTACTATCTGTGGTCTTGTCTGGGGCAAGACCCAAATCTTATCCTTTATATATTCAGCAACTACTGGCTCATATTAGACAGAAATATTGGTTGAATTTCACTACCCCATCCTCACACTCTCACCATAGTCTTGGTCCTTTTTCTTAGAACAGCCTTCTTCCTCTCCAGTCCCAGGCTCCTCCTCACACCTGTCCCAGCCCCAGCTCCTACCCTCCCACAGCTAGAAAACATCTCTACACCATTCAGGTTTGAGATGAGATATAGCTACCTCAGGTATCCTCTTCCCACCCAGAATGGCCTCCAAAATAGATTACCTGCGCTTTCTAGGAGCTCTCAGGCCATTTTCTAATACCTCTGTCATAGCATATAGCACATTGTGTTGATTATTCTCTTAAACCAAGAGAAACCCCATGAGTGCAAAGGCCATATCTGGTTCACTACTGAATGCCCAGCATGTAATTCATTCAAAGTTCTCCAGTCATTCCATAATATTTATTGAATGAATGAATGAAAAATCTGTTAGACTGCACACTCTCCATTAATTAGATGAAATATTTTGCTAATTTAACATATATTATGGGAAATTAGTAAAATTTTCATGATCTGTTCTTCTTAAAGCTACTGCTCTTCCCTCCATCCTACCTGAAAACAGCTCCAAAGAAAATTCACTCTTCCAGCCAGCCAGTCCCTAGACATTCACACAGGACGTGTACTGAACACAGGTACTTAACCTTAATTTAAACTCAAATGAAAATACATAAACACCATATTTAGGCCAAAGCTTCGTAATAAAACAAACTATAGAGAATAAAGTCTAGTGTCTGAAACACTGCCTCTTCAAGGAGTGGGGATGCCCATGAGAGCTCATGTATATTTAGCGGACAAGGAGGGTTCCCCATCAGTGAGGCCGCACATAGTTGTGCATGTTGGCTCTGTACAACACAAGGAGCACTACTTGACTAAGCCACGAGGAGTACCCCCTGGAGGGGACCATAAAGCAGCTGTGACAAAGCTCTAGACCTAGTGACTGAGCGTAGGAAAAATCTACACTATTTTTTGTAGGCCAGGATGTAACTGATTTTATTCTCTTCTTGGGAGAATGGGAGTAGGGAAGAAAGTTAACTATTGGCCATTCTTTTCCATCATCTTTGTTACAACTCCTCTCCTTTAAGAGGACTGAAGAAAGCAGGTGCTGATTGGTATACCACAAAAGGCCATGTTTAGAGCAAAAGGCCAAGGACAATACGAGGGTAGCCAAAGTTCTCAATGTACTCTGACACAGTAGTCCTTCTTTTCCCCATCTCTCGTACTAAGTTAAAAGTGTTCAGAAAGTATAGTTCAAGAGGTGATTTTAACACAATGCAATGCAAATATACATATGCCTTACTGGTAAATTGTACACCTGAAACTTACTGGATTTTGTTAACCAATGTCACCATAATAAAAATTAATTAATTAAAAAAATTGGGAAAAAAGATAATTTTAAATTTTTAGTAAGTAGATTATATGTAACACAATCATGACTTCGAAAATGTGTGTTCTTGTAAGGAAATGTCATATGAAAATTGACTTAAGAACCAATTAACAATAATCCCTTAAATATTGCAATCTATTTCCACATTTTGTGTTTAACACTTTGGTGCTTAACCGGTCCAAGAAATAAAAAAGAAGGGAAAGATATCCCATCTTTAATGCTTTGAAAAAAGTATGAGTTTGTGTTTCTTGACAGTGTTCTAAGTCAGCGGTCCCCAACCTTTTTGGCACCAGGGACCGGTGCTCCTATGAGAATCTAATGCTTGATGATCTGAGGTGTAGCTGAGGCGATGATACTAGCGCTGGGGAGCGTCTGCAAATACAGATGAAGCTTTGCTTGCTCGCCTCCTGCTGTGCGGCCCAGTTCCTAACAAGCCGCAGACCACAGACCAGACCGGTACCGGTCTGTGGCCTAGGGATTGGGGACTCCTGTTCTAAGTAATTGAATGAAGAAAATAAAATAATTGAAATTTTTGCATCAATATAGTTTTTCTGAATCTGGATAATTTTGAGCATTGAAGTATCTTCTTATAATATATCTTTTTATTTTTGTCATAACTGTTCTGTTCTGCTTTCTTCACCCTCCATCCCCTATTTTAAAAATATTTTATAGATTTTAAATTCAATTTTTAACACCAGCTACTTTGATAACTTACTTCTTGCTAAAACATTTTTTTAAAAAGATACTTTCTGAAAAGTAACTATGCTATTTGAGGAATTAACAATCAAAGAAAAATATCAATGCAAAATTACAAAAATGTTCAAGTTTTGTCTTTTATGTTTTGAATTGACCTTTTCCAGAAATGTCTTTACCACAAACTTTTTGTCAGCTGAAAACATCTTTTGCAAGTTGGTAATATATAGTAGCTGTCCAAAAAGTGTTTTCTCTTGAAATTCTAGTAAAATAGAAGCATCAAAAAAGTGATTTTTCAGTCTTCTCAAATATCCCCATAAGAATAGACAGCAAAACTAGGACAGGAAAAACAAAAAATCACAGACAATACCTTTAACAAAATCAGGTGACAAGGTATCTCCGTGAAGCCTAAAATACAAGTGAATAAAGACAAATAATGACAGTTCCAAGAGTCACATGGACTTAGCATCTATGTAAGAAGAAGCAAAGAGAAGTAAGAGGACATATGATGGACCTAAGAATAGGAGAACACTAAAATCTCCAAAATTTCCAAATCATTGGAAAGGAGGTTGGGCCAAAGCAAGAGAAACTGCTGAAATTGTGGGTGCTTTTTGGCATCCAAATTTCTGAGAAGTGCAAAGCCTACACCCACAGTTAGATCTGAAGCATCGAAAGCAGTCAAGGTCCTATGAACTCCTGAAATTAATATAGGAAACCTCTTAGGGAAAAAGCCCCATATTTAGGAGAAACTGTTAGCAAGAGACTCCAGTAATTAGAATCGAGATGCTAGTGGCAAGGGAATAAAGTTCCAGATAGAGGAGAAAAGGTCTCAGAAAGTATGAGGTCATTTTTTTGAATGTTTCATGTAAATAAACAGAAAGTCGAGAGCCATGAAACTAGAAAAGATACCCTGACACATCGCTCTGTCAAAAGGGTAAAGGAGAATAAGAGGTACAACCTAAATTTATAAAAAAATAAAATAAAATTAGTCATGATGATGTACTATATAGCACAGGTACAATAGTTGATATTATTGTAATAACTTTGTATGGTGACATATGGTTACTAGAGTTAGTGTGGATCACACCGTAAGGAATATAAGTGTCAAATCACTACGTTGTACACCTGAGACTAATATAATATTGTATGTCAACTATATTGCAATTTTAAAAAAAAGAACACCAATTTGGCTTAAAAATAAGCAGCAACAGAGAAATGTCTCAGTTAATTTCAAAACAAAATGATTACAAGAGCAGAGAAAAGAAGGAGCAGAATAAGATTCCTTTAGGCAGTGAAAGCATGTCAGGAGAATATGCCCACAAAAATAGATAAAACTATAATTTAATATTACAAAATAAACTAAAATTAAGAAAATCACAGAAGAAAGAACAATATAAGTCAAAATGTGAAAAACTTTTATAGATGTATAATTGCACAATCCAAAGAAGAAAACCAAAGCAATGGAAGAAAAAAATACAAAGCATTCTAATTCAGGAAAACATTCCTGAAATTAAAAAAGAAAATACTATAACTTAAAAGAAAAATTGCTTGCCCACATCCATGCAAAAAGAGCAAGCCATTTATTTGGAAAACAAAACCAGGTAGAGGGAGAGGGGAAGAGGGGAGACAGAGAGAAGCACCTTACCGGGACTTTAGTTAGATATTGATTCAAACAAACAAACAACGAATGTTAACACATCCGAGACAACTGGAAATTTGAAACACCACATATTTGATAATATTAAAGAAATGATTTAATTTATAGGTGTAATAAAGGCATTGTAGTTATGATTTTTAAAAAGACCCTTTATCTTACAGAGATATCTCTTTAAATATTTATGAATGAAATGATATGATATTTGCTTCAAAATAATAAAAGAGAGGAAGTAATTGGATAAATAAAACAACATTGTTCATGATTTAATAATTTTGAATCTGTGTGACAATTACATGGGATGGTTTATAGTATAAACCATCTACTTGGTATATAATTTAAATGATTTGCAATACAAAGTTTAAAAAGAAAGAATTTTTGTCCTCAGTTAGAATGGACAGTTCAAGCCTATGCAGAATAAATGTTTTTCATTTTCCTAAATTAACCCAAAGATTTTTAGAATGCCAGTTTATGGAAATCTTTTTCCTGACGTTATGGCAGCCTATTATAATTGTTTGGATGCATCTTCTTTAACATTAACTTAATTAACTTCTTTTAACATCCACTCAACTGAATGCATGTGTCTGAGAAGAATTTAATTTAGTTTTTTGTTTGTGTGTTTGTTTTTAGGATTGTAGAAAAAGGATATTATAGTGAACGAGATGCTGCAGATGCTGTTAAACAAATCCTGGAGGCAGTTGCTGTAAGTATAAAGTGACAGCAATAGTGTAATTCCTGGTACTCTCTCTTTCTTTTACAGCATCATCATATAAGAAGTGTGTGTCTGTGTCTATGATGAGTCATAAAATTTGCAGCAAAACAGCATGAAATGTTTACTAGAGAATATGTTCAATAAATTTATATTTTCTATTGATTATTCAAACTCTGAAAGTTAGTCCTTCTATAAGTTTATTAAAATAATTTCCATTCTATTATTATGAAATCAAATCAGATTTTAGTTCCGAGAATTGTTCTTGTATCTTTCTTTTCATTTCTTGAGTTTGTTTCTTTTTGTTTTTGTTGTTTGATAGGTAAGTGGAAGAAGGTTCACTGTGATAAACATAGACCTTAGAGCACAGAGTTTACTGATTTTTCTTTCAAGACAAGAAATAAGTAAATTAGAAGGAAAATTCTAACAACTTTCTTTTAAAGAAAAAATATAAGTTAATATTTTAAAGTTGAATAAAGTTTTGTAAGTTGATAGAAACATGCACATACATTTATAAAAATATATAATTTTGAGAAGATTGGATTGAATTAATAAGGAAATATTTGCCTAGATAAAACAGACTCAACTGGTGAAAACTTTCCCACATATTTAATGGTATCAAATAGTTGCTTAGACACTTTGATGGTTCATTTATTGAATATAAAGCTAGAGCAAATTATTCTCTGAATAAGTAGAGTGGGCCCAAGGGGAGCTATTTGTTGGGATGTGTTAAAGAGACACATCTATATAAAATATACCCAGAATTAATATCTATTCTATATTTCAATCAGTAAACTAACTAAAGTCATTATTCAGTATCTTGAGAAATCAACCAATCAGCCACAGTGACACAAGCACATGTCCTGTGAATTTTACCCACAACCAAAATAGGAAGGGAGGGAAGAAAGACCTTTCTATCTAGCTAGCTTATTAAAACGAAAAAAGCCTTCACAATCTTTGCATAGGGCTGCTGAAATAACAGATCTGTGATCTTACCAAATCCATATTGAGCTATCAACACCAAGTTATGGTGTTGCTATGATAGGGGATAAAAAGTTTGAATTGAGAGTAGATAAAAGCTAGAGAAGATGCCATAGAATTATAGTCTAAATACACAGTGCAGCTCCTAATTATATGAATATTGAATACCGAATTTATTTTCTCACCATACACTAAAGAACTTCTCCATTCCAGAGTTTTTATCAATCCTAGTATATTTACCATTCCTGGTTTCCTGAGCTTGTCAGCTTGGGAATGATTCTTACCTCTTCCGTTATTCTCTCCTCACATCCACCTTCCCCACTTTGGTTGAATCTTCTTTCAAATGTCCGAGAACCTAATCCTGTTTCCTATCATGTTATCATCTTTTCTGGCCCGCCCTTTTTTGTATGTTTGTTTGTTTGTTTGTTTTTTGTTTTAATACTTCTGCTTGATTCCAGTTCCTATCTTTAACTAAAGAAGTCTATAATCCTCTTTTGCAATCACTGTTTTCATTTTGTCACTTCTAAGTTTAAGAATGACAGTTTTATGCCTTTATTAATTACCTATTTTAAAACTTCATTTCTTATTACTATATATGCCACAAATTATCTACTCCAGTTAACTTGCTGGCAGCTACCCACTATCACTTTACCAAAATCAGACAGGCAGCTGATATAGCAGGTAACAGTAGTTTGGGAGTCAAACAGAGCTGGGTTCAGTTGCTGGATAAGCAAGCTTAGGTTCATCACTAACACCTCTGAGCCTCAGTTTCCTTATGGAAAATAGGCATAACCTTCAACCTAACATTGTTGTGGAAAAGGCTAATTAGATGAGGTATAGAAGTCATAGCAATGTTCAGACTCAGTTTAATCATCTAAAGATGTTTTAGACGTTATAAATCTATATACACACACCTACTCCCAGATAACTACTAAAATCAAAAACAACTGATGGTAATAGGTGCTGAATAAATATTTACTAAATAAAGAAAAATTTATTAAAATAGTCAGAAATGGGCACTACTCTATATTTTGTCTCTCTAGATGGCGACACGTTTACTGAAACATCTTTACTATAATTTTTCTACTCATCTAATACAAAATAAAACTCTATAACTTGCTTCCATTCATGAAATTCTTTTCTGCTCCTTTACTATCATTTAATTCTTTTCCTGTCATTCAAAACTCACCTTCTTCAATATGTTCTTTCTGATTGCCACCATCCATTTAGGTCAGCTCTTGATTCTTTTGGTTTATCACAGTGGGCATGTTTCAATTTAATGATACCTTGAGGAGCTAATTGAGAGAACTCTATTCTCATTCAATGGATGATAAATGGGTGCTTTTAGTATCAGAATTTTCCACCTATTGGAGTTATACCAATTAAGGAATAAAAAGTTCCCCCAGCTGGGATGCTCCAGATAGAGGTACCTCAGATAGAACAGAGGAACTAGAGTTTCAAGAATTCTATTTCAGGAATGCTAGAATAGATTGAGCAGTCTACTATTTTTTCTAAATTTAAAACAGAAAATTGTTATTTTACATACTTACAAAGCTCCATAAAGCTCCAGTTTAAGAAGTAGATTGCCACATTCAAGCCAAACATTCTTTGAAAGAAGTCTTATAAAAAAATCAAATTTTCTCTGATTACGCAGCTAAGGGTTAACTTAGAGAAAAAATTAAAGTCATTTCTCTAAGTGTTTCACAGGTAGAATGCAAGCAATTTAAAACGTGAGAAGTGGCTGACATTTATGAAATAGTTTATTGTCAACTACACGGCTATAGATAGCTATAAAAAAATAGGACAGTTGGAAACTGAAAGTAATCAGTGATACATCTCACATTTCGTCTGGATCACATGCTTATAAGATTATATCTAGGCTGGTTTTTAAAAGCACAGAAGCAGAAAATGTAAAGATTGAAAACTTCTTGGGAAATATGTTGCAGGTATAATTATACCCTTTAGGTAACAAATCTTGCAATCCTTCCCTTCCTCCCCACTTCATCTCAATTGTTGCCCCAAATATTTCACAGTATTTGTCCAACCGTAATCTTTCTCCTTCTACTTTTTAGCTTTAAATAGCATTTTTGAAAGTTTTTGAAGTGTATTTGAAAGATGTTTCCCCCTTTGGGCTTGAATTCATTCAGTTAGTCTTGGAGAAAAGTCCTTAAGCCTTCGTGAGTTCTATCTTCTCAAAATGGATTCCAGGTAGTTCCAAGTTAAAAAGTCTAGATCAATCCAGACATTCTGGAAGGGTCATCATGTCCTCATCTATCATAAAGCACAATGCCAAACCTAAAAGCCCTTCTTTTTCATTTACTTTTAAAGATAACCAGGGAATATTTCATTTCCTCTGATATCTCTTACTATTATCACCACCTTCAGTTCTTTCTTCATTACCACTGATATCCTACTGTTCCTCTATTTCAACAAAATCACTGTTCCCCTCTTTTCCTCCCTGATGCCACCGTCCATCTTTTTCTGGCTACAGTTCTCTTGTGTATGCTTTAATTTCAAAGCCATGACTTCAGAGCCTGGAGAAACTTGTACATATAGAGTATATATTGAATTTAATAAAAAACAAGGAAATGGCTGAAAAACAATTACATATATCTGCTATCCCAGCACATAAATTTTTGGTTAGAATTGTTTTTAAGATTGTAATAATAGGAATGAAGAGTTACAGACAAAAGCATCTAACCCTTTAAAGTTATGACAATCAATATGGTATCTGAACATCAAAAAACAAAACAAAACAGTAAGTGGACATGATTATAGGGATGCAGAAAAAGATGAAATATTACAGGTTCCTTTTGGTAAAATTTTAAAAAACCTGTACATTTAGCTTATTAGAGAATCAAGTAATAAATAATTGATGACTAAATATTGAAGAACTGGAAAAGCAAAACGAGAACACTAAACTGAGGTATTGTGAAGATAGCAGCTTTGGGAAGCAGTCCTCTTGGACTGGGGAAACAAAATGAAAAGATTAAGATGATTAAAACTTAGAACTTTAATGGTAGTGCCCTATATAGAACTGTGATAAAAGCTCACTGATTGGCTGGTCCTGGTGTGTTGCCTCTGAGCTCAGAGGAATTGCCCGTGAAGCTGGCGCTCAGACCTTTGAGAGTGGTATTCTCCCTACCTAGTGCTGGTGTTACTGAAGAGGAACACTGGGATTGGTTCTGTGAGCAGTGGAAAATCTGCAAATCGGAATCAACATCTACTGTTGAAATCATCTGCTACTTCCATGTAAAAAAAAACAAACCACAAAAACAAACAAACAAACAAAAAACGTGTTTCTAAGGTGCATGAGAAAAATAAGCAGAAAGACAGACTCAGAAAGCAAATAGAAGGGAACAAGTCCCTTCATTCTCTTTCCATCTCCCACTCTCTCCAAAGTGCTCTCTAATGGCAGAGCCAGACAGGGAGCCAGCAGAAAGTGTGGCTTGTAGTTCAACTTTCAGTTTACATAGTAGACTACATAGGAGTGGGTTTAAAGTCGAGAGACAACTTAATAAATGGTACAGGAAGTTATTTGAAGACAAAAATAAATCCTCAAAGTTTCTGTTTGTATTTTACAATCTTCTAAAATGTTCATAATCTATATTAATGTGCATATGATGGTTCTAGAGGTCAGTGAAATCAAAGTAAGTGCAGTAGCATTAAAATAAATTACTATCCATATTTAGTACTAAGTACTATGCTTGATAACATGTATAGGTTTAATGGGTAATATGTACATTATTCAACTTTACATTATTTGACATGTTTAAGCCATCTTCTACCTGATCTCTTATTCCTTGTTAGCAGAACCAATCTACCTTTATAAAGATGGAAAATACCAACACTTCTTAACTTTTTAACTTTAAGTTTTTAAGTTAACTTTTAACTTAACTTCTTAACTTTTCCTAACCTCCCTTTCAGCTAGGCGAGGGCATATGACCTGATCCTCACCAATGAGTTCTGATGGGCAACCTGCTTGGGAGTTCTGAGAAAAGCTTCCTCTCAGT